AGCTCTGTCACTTCCTGACTGTCTGTAAAGACCTCCAGACCTCCATGATTAACTAGTGTTGGAATTTAAGGCATGTGCCACCTCTGGTTCTGTTCCCAGTGTAGCCTTGAACTCACAGAGATCAAGACAGAAGTGACCCTGGGAGGTGCTGCCTCCTGCCAGGAAGCTCAGCTTCAAGGAAGGACAACAAAGGTGACACAAGAGCAGCAGGGCATGGGAGCCATGCTGGAGTTGATGCTCTTCTCCGTAGTCAGAGAGAATTGCAGATCCTTACAACCCCATCTTGCACAGATGTGTGCCTTGGCAAGGGTTCCTACTCACAGGAGAGGAGACCATTTCCTGGGAATGGTGGGAAGAAGGAAGCACAGAGACTGGCTGGGTCTCCTAGGGAGGACAAGAGCCTGAGAGGGGACACAGGGCTTCTAGTTGGGGCATCAAAGGAGATGACACAGAGGGACAGTCTCAGCAACAAGCTCTCCCTGAACAGGAATTGGTGTGGGAAGGGAATGGGGGGATGGGAACATGAGTGATCAGATTGATTGAATTGGGATGGGATGGAGGGGAGCGGTCAATGAAAGAGGTATCTTGATAAAGCAGGCCATTTTGAGGTTAGGGAAAAAACTGGTGCCAGGGAAACTCCAAGAAATCCAAAAGGATGACCTCAGCTAAGACAGATAGCAATGGTGGAGAGGGTGCCTGAACTGGCCTTCTCCTGTAATCAGATTGGGGACTACCCTAATTGTCAACAGAGAGCCTTCATCCAGTAACTGAGGGAAGCTGATGCAGAGAGCCACAGTCAAGTGCTAGGCCAATTCCAGGTGTCCAGGTAAAGAGATGGAGGAGGGGTTGTATGAGCAAGGAAGGTCAAGATCATGATGGAGAAACCCACAGAGACAACTGAACCAAGCTAGTGGGAGCTCACAGATTCTGGACCAACTGCTAAGGAGCCTACATGGGACCAAAATAGCACCTTTGCATGTGGGTGACAGTTGTGTAGCTCTGTCTGTTTGTGGGGCCCCTAGTAGTGGGATCAGGTGTTCCTGGTGCTTCAGCTGGCTCTTTGGAACCTATTCCCCATGCTAGGATTCCTTTGCCAGCCTTGATGCAGTGGGAGGAGATTAGTCCTGCCTCAACTTGATATACCATGCTTTGTTGACTCCCATGGGAGGCTGCCCATTACTGAACAGAGGAGGAGTGGATGAGGGGGGGGGGAGGGTTGGTGGGAGGTGGAGAGAAGGAAGAGGAACAGGAAGAGAGGAGGGAAAGGAAACTGTAGTTGGTATGTAAAATAAATGAAAATATTCAATAATAACAATAAAAAAAGATCAGGCTGTAGGCAAGCTTGAAGAACATTTTCTTAATTAGTATTTGATGGAGGAGGGACCAGCCCATTATGGGTGGAGACATTCCTGGGTTGGTGTTCCTGGGTTCTACAGGAAAGCACCCTGAGTAAGCCATGAGCAGCAAGCCAGTAAGCAGCACTCCTCCAGGGCCTCTGCATCAGCTCCTGCCTCCAGGTTTCTGCCCTGTTTGAGTTCTTGTCCTGACTTCCTTCAATAATGAACAGTGATATGGATATGTAAGCTAAACAAAACCTTTCCTTCCTCAAACTCCTTTTGATCATGGTATTACACTGCAGCAATAGTAACCCTAGGACAGTAAGTTTATGAATTAAAACTACAAACTGAAATGACAACCCAAGGAAAGGAAAAACATATTTGTAAGTCATCTATATGGTACAGCTTTTGTGTTCAGAAAAAATAACTGATACAACTCAGGAAAAAAAGTGATCCCTAGTCATCAGGGAAATGCAAATTAAATCTACTGTGAGATGCCAGCTCACCCCAGGTAGATTGGCTATAATCAAAATAACTGACAACAAATGTTGCAGAGGATGTGGAGAAAGAGAAACACGTATTCTCTGCTGGTGGGTGTGAAAATTAATACAGTCATTATATAGAGCTTGTGGAAGTTCCTCAAAACGTTAGAAATACCACACGACTCAGCTGTTTCACTGGGAATATACCCAGAGATCCTGTCCCCTACCATAGAGATATTGGCACCCCATGATTACTGCTGCTCTATTCAATATAGCAAGGAGATGGAACCAAAATAGATGTCCATCAACAGATGAATGCATAATGCAAGTCTAGTGCATGTACCAAATGAAATATTATTCATCTCTAGAGAAAAATGAAATCACAAAATTTACAGGAAAGTGGATAGACTTAGAAAGTATACTATTAAATGAGATCACCCAATCTCAGGGGAAAAAGCACATGTTCTTTCTTGTGTGTGGATCCTAGCCTATATAATGTATGCATGTACATACGTAATTAAATATGGAGAGGTACGGTACAACATATAGGAAGGAGAACATGAAAGGGTAATTTTACAGAGACAAAATACTCCCTACTGAGTTCACATACATGCTGTACTTTTTTTGGATCCTGTGAATGCTCTCTCAACATGGAACACGGTTTTGATGCAAAACAGGTCCTTAACAAGCAACATGCACATGAGACTCTTTGCTGCAACCTTACTGGGACCCCAAATGTGAAGTTACATTTTTCATCTTTTAAATGTCCCTGTACAATGCAGTTCTTGTAAGTACTACCAACTTAGGGTGCATTATTCTTTAAATAAGAATTCAAGTTATAACAGCTATAGAGAGTGAAGGCTGTCCAAAGTATGCTTAAATCATCGTAACTTGGGAATTTTTGAAAATTCCAGGGAATACTGACTTACTGGCTCTGAATCGCAAAGATTAACACACGAGGTATTACCAACCCTGAGTAGCTTGCAGGTTTTGGTTTGGTTTTCATTTTATGTTATAACACTAAAATGTGTTTTTGTTAGTGAATGAATGTACTTTACTTTGAAATTTAAAAGTCGAATAAAACTATTTTAGAGTGAGCAAAGGACTTGGATATTCCTGCCCTGAACAAGATATACAAAAATTCTAATAAACACATGGGAAAGGGGGATCAACATCATCAGTCTTCATGGAACTGCAGATCAAAATGGCAGTGAGTCTCACCTCAGCTATTCTAGTCTCCAGCAAAAATCTACCTAGATCCTCAAAGGCAGCTGCACACTGGGACCTTCTTGGAAAACTAGTGCTCAGCTCCATTACAGCATTAGGAGCTTGGCTACCATCCTTGTAGCAGCCCAGACATGAGCTGCAGGTCTCCTCATGAACAACAGGGGGCGACAATAAAACCCATAATCAACAGGGAATACTCTCCTTGAGGAGGGAACCTATCTTGCAGCCTTGTTTCCGTTCCAGTTCCAACAGACCTGGAGCTCCCTCACATAATCATTCCCTGTGTCACTGAGACCCCCCACTCTGCAAGGTGACCTTATGTAGTCCCCTCCCTCCTCTCATCATCCATGAGAGCAGACAAGGATATCATAGAGCAATCACCAAGGAGAACAAAGGCATCCCAGAAAGGTCAGGGAGGGCATGGGCAGACCTGAATCACATTCAGCCAGCACAGGAAACTGGGGTCAGGAACTCTCCCTGTGCCCTCCATAGGAAGCTGGAGCACATGGTACTCTTTCTAGGACACACAGATCACCTCATCCTGCACACCAGGATACAAAACTCTGAGATAACATGTATCCATGGATCAGACACCTGATAGGTGACACCAGTGAGGATGGATCTGGGTCCTCCTCAGTCATCACTCAGCTAGACCTTTTCCAGCCCCGTGGGGAAGACTGCCACTCCGTGTTGGGAATAAATCCCACCTTCTCTGAGCATTGAGATCACAGGGCAGACTGGGCTCTGCTGGGTTTTATGTCACAAGGAAATACACCCTTGGCTCTGGGGTGAGCTGCTGTTCTCTCAGGACACAGGACACTTCTCAGCCATGTGGCTCAAAGTATGTTCTAGAACACTGAACAACAAAGAAATAGAAGGGTAGGAGGCAGCACTCACAGAAGAACAGAGCAATGTACATACACAGACTCCACCCAATGACCAACTGACTCCAGGAGGTTCCCTCCTCTGGGAGGAGGCTCAGTTGTGGGAATAAAAGCAGAGCAGACACCAGAGGGGCCCAGCTTGCCAGGAGCCTGAGAGACAGACCTCCTCTCCAGAGGAAGAGCCTAGCCCACAGCAGAGACTATGGAGCTCACCTCAGCCCCTCTCCACAAACGACAGGTCTCCTGGAGGGGACTTCTGCTCACAGGTGAGGAGACATTGCTCAGGATTAGAGAGTGGGAGAACTCAGAGACTAAATGAGGTCTTTGGGGAGAGGGAAAGAGCCTGAGAAGGTATGTCTGGCTTCTGCTTGAAGCCTGGGAGCAGCAGGAAGCTCATGGTGGATGGGAATTGGTGTGGGGGAAGAAAAACTCAGTTGTTCCACATTGTAAGCATATCAGCACTAGCCACTGTATCCTGAAGACTGACATTCACACCTCTGTCAGGGTGACTCTCCAAGACAAACTCAAACTAAGGTGAGTACACCACAGCCTCATTTCATAGGACCCTGAGAAATCTGCAAATAAACCCCAGGCTCTGGGACACTGATTTGCTCACAGGAATCTGAGCCTGTTCCAGGCACTGTGGTTTAAACCAAAATCAAACTTGTCCTCCTGCTACTACTGGGCAGGAAGACAGAGCAGCAAGGACATCTAGAAGGTTGGCCCAGGGGTTGACAAGCACTTGAGAAGAAACAGAGCATGGAAAGGTCAGAAAATGAAGGCACAGAGTCTTTAGAGGAGGAGGTCAGACAAGACATGTCTACACTCACCAAAGATTCTGATTGAGTAGAGTTCTGAGGGCAGTGAGGGGTGAGCTGTGTAGACACCTGAGAAGACAGTCCCATACAGTGGAAAGATTCAGGGGTACTGATGAATGGGGGTGATGCCGCTGACCTCGTCCCAACAGGACACACATACTGAGACTGAGAGTTGAAGACACTCACATTCCAAATTTCCTAATTTGCAAAGGTCCTAATATTGATAGGTTTTTTTTCTCTCTTCCCTCTTAGCCTTGCTTTTAACCTTCTGGAACTTTGCCACCACTGCAGAACTCACTGTGGAGGCAGTTCCACCACACGCTGGTGAAGGGGACAACGTTCTTTTCCTTGCCCATAATGTGCCAGAGACACAGAGGTTTTTTAACTGGTTCAGGGGGAATCGACTTAATATGTCAAACAGCATTATACGATTGATAACATACAGAAGTAAAATAGAAAAAGGGCCTCTCTACAGCGAAAGAGAGACAATATACACCGATGGATCCTTACTCTTCAAGAATGTCACTAAGAAAGATGCAGGAGTCTATTTGCTAATTGTGACTGTGGAAGACCTTGATGAAAAGAAAGCAACGCTGCAGTTATATGTACACGGTAAGTAATTCTCTGTAACCTCTGGGTCGAGGGTGGAGCTAATCCTATTACACACATAGGGTGTGCCTCTGTGTTATGGTCCCCACATTGTGGTTCAAACATTCAGTAAAGGACACATATTAATGTGTGGGAAAAACAGCAAGAAATCAATTGAATCCATTCTTAGAGAAAAGGGAGTGAGGGAACTGAAACCAGGCATGTCACACTTTGCCTACGGTCTTAGATGTTCATCATGAACATGGCCTTGAGAAAGACCCTTCAGGACTCAGGCAGGGCCTGGCTGAGGAAACTATGAGAGTCTCACAGAGAGATGACCCCTGATAGCTTTGCTCAAGAAACCCGTGCTATACTGCATCAGGAATCCTGGGAAGCTTGTAGACTGGATTGGAATTTGACCTCCTGTTGGAGTTGACAAGGGACAACAGTGAACTGTAGGCTGGGATCCTCCTGACAGTCAGCCTCTGAGAGCCATGTCTGAGGTAGGTCACCTGGGCATCTCTTCCTGAGAATCAGTTTGCTCAGCCTAGGCAGAGAGGTAGGAAAAGCAATCAGCTACCTATTCTGATGGTCTTCTAAGATCTCCCAGGAAGGCAAGAGCCCTAAAGAGATAGAAGAAAAAGTATACAAATGGCAGCTCCTTGCCCTCCTGGGGTCCAGCCTAGGGATTATTTCCTGCAGGCAAACACTAACAGACACTGCTTGGTGGAAGGTCAGGTCATTGTTCACATTTAAGGTTAACTTGCAGGCATAGCAATGATCATTTACCATGTGTTCTGTTATAGGGAAACTGAGAGAGGAAACACAGTCATTGAGTCAGGGTCAAATAGGCCCTCACTGGCACAAGCTATCTGTCCACAACCATATCTCCAGCCTCCCCACCATGGAGATCTACCAGGTGACCTTCAATCTTCTAGATCATTTCATAGACTCAGGATTCTTATGGGGCTCCCAGATTCATGTAAATAAATATCAAATTCCTGACAAGAATGGCCGACCTGTGGCCCATCCTGACCTAAATATCATCCAGATCCTGAGCTGTGTGAGATCTCTGACAGGCTGTCAGGTTTCTCAGGGAAGCTCAATGGGAAGACTAATCATGACCTATCTTAGAGCAGCCCTGAACAGCAAAGGCTGGGAGGACTCTGGTCTACACTGAGTAGTGGAGGCCAGTGTGGCTGGAGGGACTCGAACCTTGTGTCTCAAGAGAGGCAATGGGTCAGTGAGGACCAGGGATAAAATGAGGTCTTTCATTCTTTGTCTTGAGTCTGACCATCACTAAACACTGCAGTGTAACAGGAATCTTAAAAGTTCTTATTAATAAAAACAAACCCAGTGCCAGGTATTGGGGTGAACAATGAATGATCAGAGAAACAACAAGCCACAGCCACCTCACCTTGCCAGTTCCTCAGCTGATCCTGTTTCCTCAGCCTGGATGCCTCTCAGCCGAACTGTGCTGCTCAAAAACCTAAAAGCTTAACCAGCTCTAGTTTCTCACACCTTATATACCTTTCTGCTTTCTGCCATCACTTCCTGGGATTAAAGGCGTGAGTCACCATGCCTGGCTGTTTCCAGTGTGGCTTTAAACTCACAGAGATCCAGATGGATCTCTGCCTCCCAAGTGATAGGATTAAAAGTGTGTGTGTCACCATTTTCCGGTCTCTATGTCTATCTAGTGGCTGTTCTGTTCTCTGACTCCAGATAAGTTTATTAGGGTTCACAATATTTTGGGGAACACAATATCACCACATTTCCCATTTTTGGCTAAAATTTAAAAAATGCTTATAACTAATACAAGAAAAACTATATCCAATAAGTATATACAATATATACAGTCAAGAATTACATTAGCAATGTCTAGTCCATTAACATTTGACAGATTCAGACAAAAATTCCATTATATACATTAACAGTGTCTAGTCCATTAACATTTGATAAATTCAGACAAAAATTTCATTACTTATCCTATTTAAAACAAGTAGTTCCTTTTAAAAAGTAGATTCAATAATTGACCTTTTTATCTTATTATATCCATATTCTCTTTTTTCTTTTCATAATAGGTTCAATAGTCTATCTTTTGTCATTTTTATATCTCCCCCTATTTCTTTTTAGAGTTGATTCAATGATCTACCCATTTATACTATTATTTCTTTATCTTTTTTTCCTCAGAGTAGATCCAATGATCTACCTCATATCTATATTCTCTTTTTCTGTTTTCTTTTTTTAAACAAAAACTCTGAATCTAATCTCCTTGTTCAGCTTTTTTTCTGACCATTAACAATTAACAACTTGTAACCAACCATCACAAACAGTGACAATATCCATAACTCATTAAACAACCAAAAAAACTACCCACCCCACCACTTTGGAAGATGGCCATCGTTTTCTTTAAATTACTTCCTGCTTCTGGGGGTGAAGATGTCTTTAGGGAATCCTGAAAAGAAAATTTTGGGTTAATTATCAAGTCCTGAGATATTTAGCTGTACTATTTGTCCAATCTTTGCATAATGGGAAAGTGCAGGGCTTGTCTCAAGTCCTAGTTCAAGTAGTCTGTCAGGCTGGATCATCTCAGCTAGCCATCTTGAAATTGTTCTGAGTAGTTTGTAGTCTAAAGTCAATCTTTCTGTGTTGTTAATAAGCTTAATGGCTTTACCATAGTCCTTGTGGAATCATCATTGTGGGGTCCCATCATTCTTTTGAAGATTTGAAGATTTCAAAGTTGCTGTTAGGCATGGCCAGGGTTCCCTGCAGATGTTTTTTTTGTGTGTGCCTCCTCTGTGGTTTGGAGCAATCACAGTCTGATAAATGTATGTCATTCGGAACCATGAACATTCTTCCCTAGAAGAGAAAATCTTCACAGCAATTTCTCCCCACCATTTGTCTTGCCAAACTTTTCCAAACTGAGCTTTGCTGATGCTTTCTTGTAACACGATGGTCCAGGCAATTCTCTGAACAAACATCGATAAACCCTTCATTCCAGGTAGCAGCATCACTGCAGTCACCAACACGATGAGAAGAAGCCAGCAGCTGCTGCCTCCATGGTCCCGCTGCCACTGTTTGTGGCTGAGCCCCAGCCAGCCAGCGCTTCTCCTTAGCAAACCTCCTAAGCTGGTCTCAAACTTGGGATCCTCCTGCCTCTGCCTCCTTCAGTAAATCCAACCAGTGTGCACCACCACAACCAGCTACGTGTAGTTCGGGTCTGAGCTGGAGCCCACAAGGCCACAGGCAAGTAGCTTTTTCAAGAATTTGTACCCGACAATTTGGGCGCCAGATGTAGCATGAATCTTAGATGGTCTTATTAATAAAAACAAACCTGGAGCCAGGTATTGGGATAAACAATGGAAGATCAGAGAAGCAGAATAAGCCAAAGCTACCTCACCTTGCCAATTTCTCAGCTGATCCTGTTTCCTCAGACTGGAGGCCTCTGAGTCCTTATCCAAATGGATCTCAGCTGAACTCTTCTCAAAAGCCTGAAGCTTAACCAGTCTAGTTCCTAGTTTTCACGCCTTATATACATTTCTGCTTTCTGCCATCACTTCCTGGGACTAAAGGCGTGAGTCACCATGCTTGGCTGTTTCCAGTGTGGCTTTAAACTCACAGAGATCCAGATGGATCTCTGCCTCCCAAGTGATAGGATTAAAGGTGTGAGTGCCACCATTTTCTGGTCTCTGTATCTAGTGGCTGTTCTGTTCTCTGACCTCAGATAAGTTTATTAGGGTTCACAATATTTTGGGGAACACAATATCACCACACTGCAGCTCAGTTCACCTGAGCTCTGTGAGATCTCTGACAGGCTATCAGGTTTCTCAGGGAAGCTCAGTGGGAAGACTAATCATAACTTAGCTGTAGGACAGCCCTGAACAGCAAAGGCTGGGAGGGCTCTAGTCTACACACAGCCCTGAACAGCAAAGGCTGGGAGGGCTCTAGTCTACACACATTAGGGGAAGTCAGTGTGGCTGGAGGGACTTGAACCTTGTGTCTCAAGGCAGGCAATGGGTCAGTGAGGACCAGGAAATAGAATGAGGTCTCTCATTCTTGAGTCTGACCATCACCAAACACTGCAGCTCAGTTCTCTCAAGAGAAAGTCCTTGCTTCTACCATATACACCACAGGAGGCCCCATTATCTCTGAGCACTCGGCCACTCCATCTGCCTGTAATTTGCTTCCTGACTGATTCTTTAAGGATCTGGGTTGCCTGGGAGTTAAGAAAATATCTCTGGTTGTAAGAGGCTTTTAAAAGAATCAGAAGTACCACACAGAGCCATTATCTCTCTGTAGTCAGCACAGCACCTGAACCCAAGCCCAACATCACAACCAACAATTCCAATCCCATGGAGGGTGAGGACTTAGTAGCATTAATGTCTGAGCCTGAGACTCAGAATGCAGCCTACCTGTGGAGGATAAATGGCCAAAGCCTAGAATAAGAGGACAGGCTGAAGCTGTCTGAGGACAACAGGACGCTCACTTTACTCAGTGTTGTGAGGACTGACACAGGACCCTATGAATGTGAACCTGGAACCCAGTGAGGGACTTCCATGTGACCCACTCTCTCTGAACATTACCTGTGAGTATTTTCTGTTTCATCCTGGTCCCAACTGCCTAAATACAGAGGACTAGAGCTATACCATGCTCGGTCCCAGTCCCCTTGGGTTCATGACACAGACCTACCATACAGATACGTAGGCTGTCAGGGCATCCTGGCCCAGTCCAAGCACATGTAGACAGGCCCAGCATTGAGCTTGAATGGGCTGCAGGGACTTCTGCCTAGAGAGGCTCAGGGTGATGCAGACAGGGGACATGTCAGACTCAGGCTCAGTGTACACATGAGTGTGCAGAGGGGATGTTTGTGTGTTGTGCTTGAGATAGATCAGGGCTTGTGCATGCTGCATGAAAACTCTTCAACTAATCTGACCTCAGCTCTGGGTAGGACCTGCTCAACTAAGTTTTAAGCACAGCTCAAAGAGATACTATGTCCTTAAACAAACCAGGATTTCCCCTTACCACTGTTGACATAACATGTCTTTTAATATGTTTTCTCCAGTGGTCCATTTATTCCAATCATATACCTCTCAAATATTCATTTCCATTCAAGAACAAACCTCAGCCTCTCCTGCCACACAGATGCTAACCCACATGCACAGTACTCTTGGTTTGTCAATGGAGAGCTCCAGTCATCCTCCCAAGAGCACTTTATTCCCAACATCAATACTAGTAATAGCAGATCTTATACCTGCCTAGTCTATAACTGTCATTGTCCTCAGTAAGACCACAGTCAAGAACATTATAGTCCTTACGAAGTGGACCTCTGAAATATCATCACCAGGTTTGGAGTGGAGTCCTTTGGCTTTCTGGGAAGATGCAGAAGCATTTAATTTCCAGTCCATGTCTATGGGAACAAGCAAAACTCAGTCTTCCCCCAAGCCTCCTGGTTCTCTGATATCTGCCTGATAGGGATGGAGCTTGCAATGTGAGGAGGAGGTTCTCCCAGTCTTGGAAATCCTTTGGTTGTATGAGGGACTTTCCATGGTTAGGAGAGCCTCAAGGTCAAGATTTCTTTCTGTACCTAACACAAGCTTTCCTGTCCCTCCATTTTCATTATGACCTCCATGACCTACAAGGAACACCCAGGGCTTTCAACTGTGTTCACATTATTTTTCTCCAAATTGGAGGAGAAAAATCCCCACAGATGGGGACTAGACCTTGGCTCCCAGGTCTGTTTCTGTCTCACGGGTGGGGTGGCTGCCTCAGTTCTGACTCCCTGGGATGAGAAGAGTGGGTGGAGAAGGTGCCTGGGAGCCCTGTTCTGAGTCAGGGTGAACCATGTCACTGACAGTTGATGATGTTCTTTTGCTTACTCTTCTCAAGGTCCAAAAAACAAATGTCAGCTGAGTGTGGTGGCACACATTTTTGATTCCAGCACTGAGGAGGGAGAGAGGAGGGTAGATAGTGTGAGTTTGAGGCCAGCCTGGTCTACATAGCAAGTTCCAAGCAAGCTAGGACTGTACATTGAGACCATGTCTCAAAAAAACCAGTACTGAGGATTAGAGTGGCAGGCTGTGGTCAGCACTGTGATTATTCACTTCTCTGTAGTATTTAATCCATATCCATGGGGCAGGAAATACATTTTTTCTACAAACAGAAATTCTTCAGTCAGGAATTTCTCCCAGTCCTAGGTCTAGCCTTTAACACCTTTAAGATTACGTGGGCCATCTTAACCCCATGACAAATTATTTAATAAAAGACAAACAGAAGGCTATTTCATAAGAGAGGGACCTGACTGTTCACACTTACCAAAAGTGTGAGCAAGAATTCCCTCAAAAATCATTAGGAAATATGCCATGAGATTTCTGGACATGTGGGCTGAGGAGGCACGCAGTGTGGAATCTACACAAATACCCTGAGTTAGGGTCACTGTGGGTGATCTTGGTAGGAGTAAGATTCAGCTCTCTCCTTACATATCTTGAACCCAAACATGTGATCTTGCAGAGGGCCACTTCATTCTATGGGCCCTGTGAGCTGGATGAGATCTTTGAGGGTGAAGGACTCTCAGCTGTTCCCCTCCACCATTTATCCACAGATCCAGTGACTCCACCCTCCATCCAAGTCACCAACACCACAGTCAAAGACCTGATGTCTATATTCCTGACCTGCTTGTCAAATGACACGGGGATCTCCATCCATTGGCTCTTCAACTCTCAGCGTCTGAGAATCACAAATAAGATGATGCTGTCCCCGAACAACAGCACCCTCCAAATAGACCCTGCCAGGAGTGAGAATTCAGGGGACTATCAGTGTGAGGTAACCAAGGGATTGGTTAACAAGAGGAGTGACCGCATCACTCTGAACATAAAAGGTGAGTGATCTCTGCTCCATTCTTACTCCATAGTGTTGGGGATGGGGGCAGTTTCTTTATCAACAGAGTACAGAATGGGTCAAAGTCACAAGGAGAAAAACATGGTTTAAGATACAAATACAGCCATCTTGGTGATGGATGCATGTTAATCTCATGATAACATACCAAGCAAGCTGAGCACAGTGCTGCATGCCTTTAACCCCAGCACACCAGAGGCAGAGACAGTTGGATCTCTATGAGTTCCCAACCACCCTGGTCTTTGTAGCCAGTTTCAGGTTAGCCAGAACTACATAGTGAGACCCTGTCTCAAAAGAGTGAGAGCATGAAGCAGAAGGCATAGAAGTACAAGGCCACTCAACTGAATGGACCAGGCTCTGCTTACTCCCCATGGGAGACCTTGCCTTGGGGAAGGTAGAAATGGGGGGTCTTATGAGGAGGAAGGCTGGGAGGCGGGAGGAGGGAGGACAGGGCAATCTGTGGTTGGTATGTAAAAGGAATAGAAAAATCTCTTAATTAAAAAAAAAAGAAGTACAAGGCCAACCCAGATTACATTGTGAGACCTGGTCAATAATAACAATAGATGTCAATATAGCAAATAGAAATGCAAAGTGATTAAGAGTTTAGGGTCTGAGTCAGTCACACAGTCAACCCTCAGAATCTAGTAAAATATTCATGTTACTCTATATGTCCTTCCACACATTCACATTATCTTTAGATTATTTTCTATATCTAGTATGAATACTGCATAGACACTAGTCTTGTTTTGAGTACAGGACAGTGATAGAATGAAACAACACGTTTTTCACTGTAGAGATACTTTTCCAAGTAGTTTGTTTCCAAGGTTTCGATCCACAAATATAAAATCCATAGAGAGAAAGGACCTGTATTGAGTTTCTTACTATGTTTGCATATTTATTATTTTGTGTGGGTGTTCCATACCTAGTGTGTGGATGTCAGAGGACAATTTGTGGTAGCCTGTTCTCCATGGACAGGGGATTGAACTCAGGCAGGTGAGCAAGCCCTTTATCTGCTAAGCCATTTCACTGCCCCACATTTGTTTGTGCATTTTTTCTTTTTCTTTTTTTTCATTTTTCTTTATTAAGAAATTTTCTACTCACTCTACATACCACTCACAGATCCCAACTCCTCCCTTCTCCCCCTCCCACCCCACCCCACATCCCTACATCCCTCAAATCAAGGTCTCCCATGGGGAGTCAGCAGAGCCCGGCACACGGAGCCTAGGCAGGTCCAGGCCCCTTCCCACTGTACCAAGGCTGCACAAGCCTTCACTCTTCAGGCACCACAACCCAAAAGCCTGCCCATGCACCAGGGATGGATCCCGATCCCCCTGCCTGGGTGCCACCCAAACAGTTTGAGCCAAACGACTGTCTTGTATCCAGAGTGCCTAGTCCAGTCCCATGGTGGCTCCGTAGTCATTAGTCTACAGTTCATGGGCCTCCAATAGTGTGGCCAGTCATCTCTTGTGCATTTTTTTTTCTTTGTGGCAGTTGGGTATAGGTACTGGAGGCAGTATGGCAGGCAGCTTACCAACTGAGCCATCTCGGTGGCCATTATATTGAGTTTCTTATCCTTATGCTCACATTTGCAGCATGACCTCCTTGCACAAGACTCTTTTTTTTCTGATAACTGTTTATTTGTGGAGTGTAGTAGTAGTAGTAGTAGTAGTAGTCTGTGTGTGTGTGTGTGTGTGTGTGTGTGTGTGTGTGTGTGTGTGTGTGTGTGTTTGATGTGTAACTATTGAGCTATCTCTCCAGTTCCATAAACCAAATATACATGTTGGACTGGAGAGATAGCTCAATATTTAAGAGCCCTAGCAGCTCTTCCAAAGGACAGGGGTTCAATTCCCAGCACCCACATGGCAGCTTATTACTGTCTGTAACTAAGTTCCAAGGAATTCAACACCCTTTTCTGTCCTCCTCAGGTACCAAACATGCATGTTCTGCAGAGACATATAAGCAGCCAAAAGGCCCATAAGACGCATCTGGCATCATAACAAAGACACCATTCGAAATCCAATTTCAAGATGCTTTCATCCTGTCTCCTAAAAGTCTGATGACTTTCAGCTCTGATCCATTTTAGGTCTTTGATCCATTTAGAGTTGATTTTTATATGTTGTTAGGTGAAGGCTTAACTTCATTCTTTTACCTAGATATCCCATTTTCCCAACATCCCTTGTTTCACTGATTATTCCTCCATCCTTGAACAATCTTAGCAGTCTGATCAAAACTCATCTGGTCACAGAGGGTCAGATGGACAGCAAGAATGCCTTCCAAGTTCTGTAACTCAAAGGGCAACTCTGTTTCACACCTAGTAATTCAAAAGAGCCAGCAGAAATGAATGTTTGTAACAAACAGAAAAAGTGGCAGATGAAATGGTGGATATGCCTACTGCTCAGATCTGACACACATTATAATATATATGCAAAACTGTGCCCCATAAACACACATTTTGATCTTACCAACTAATCATTAATTTAATCATGACCAGTGTGCATGAGCAATTCTGGACTTTCCAATTCTATTTCACTGATCTGTATGTCTGCCTTTATGTCAGCAGTAGACTATTTTGATTGTTGCAGCTTTGTACTAAAATTATGAAATCATGCAGAATGTCCTGCAATTTTATTCCTTTTTCTTTTTCAAGATACTTTTAAAACCAGATATGGTACTTGCCTCTAACCTCTTGGGAGCAGAGACAGGTGGATCTCTGGGAGTTTGAGGCCAGCCTGATCTATATAGTAAGTTCCAGGACAGCTAGAATGGACTTCTCTATTTCTGTGCAAAATGCCACTGGGGTTTTGATCTGCTGTGCATAGAACTGATAGACTACATTCAGTGATATTGTCATCTATTAAAAAAAAATTCTTTCAGACAAGCTGGCTCATGCCTATAATTCCAGCCACTCAAGAAGCTGAGGCAGGAGTAATAGACTACTGACAATGGTCGAGAGAAAGCCCAAATTGACCTACTCTGGTGATAGGGTGGCCAAACACCCTAATTCTCATGCTAGAAACCTCATCCAATGACTGAGGAAACCAGATGCAGAGATCCATGACCAGGCCCCTGGTGGAGCTCCAGGAGTCCAATTGGCGAGAAAGAGGAGGGTTTGTATGAGCGAAAATTGTTGAGACCAAGATTGGAAAAAGCACAGGGACAATTAGCCAAACGAATGGAAACACATGAACTATGAACCAATAGCTGAGGAGCCCCCAACTGGATCAGGCCCTCTGGATAAGTGAGACAGTTGATTAGCTTGATCTGTTTGGGAGGCATCCAGGCACTGGATCCAGGACCTGTACTCAGTGTGTGAGCTGGCTCTTTGGAAGCTGGGGCTTATACAGTGACACTTGTCTCAGCCCGGAAGGAGAGGACTGGACCTGCCTGGACTGAATCTACCAGGTTGAACTCAATCCCCAGGGGAGTCTTTGCCCTGGAGGAGATGGGAATGGGGGGTGGGCTGGGAGGAAGGCGTGGGAGGGGGAAGGGGGGGTAAATAAGGGAATCCGTGGCTGATATGTAAAATTAAATTAAATTATAATTTTTTTTTTTAAAAAAGTGCCTACCACCACCATTCAGGCCAGCCTGGTTAATTTAGTGACATCCTGTTTCTAAATAAAAATTAAAAGGCAGACCTTAGAATACAGCTCAATAGTAGAACATTGCTTACCATGCACAAAGCCCTGGGTTCAATCCCAGTACTGCAGAACAGCAGTAATAATGAGATTAAATCTTCCAACCCATCAACTCCAACGGCTGTCATTTCTTGTCTTCTTTCATCATTTCTTATTTGGTAGTTTGCTGAGTGCAAGTCTTTTATCTCCTTGGTGGAGTTAATTCTAAGTATTTTATTCTTTTTGGTGCTTTCAAAAATTAATACTTTCTTCATTTCCTTTCCATTTGTTCACTGTTAAGGCTGGGACTGTTGCTCAGGGGCTAAACCCTTGCCAGGCATGCAAGAGGCCCTAGGTTGAAGTTCCACTACTGCCAGGAAAAAGGAAAATCTAATTGTTCATAGTCAATATTAGTATACAGAAATGCATCTCACTTGGGCTTGTTCTTTTCATTAGCCAACAATTTTGCTAGTTTTACTCATTTAGTTCTGAGAACTTTCTGTACAATGTTAAGGATTTTCTATGAACAAGTTACTGTCATCTACAGATATATAATATACATCCATATTATATCTTTATCACCTCATAATTGGGCACCTTCATTTCATTGTCTAACCTAATGGCTCTGTGTAGCACTCCTAAGAGTCTCCTGAGCAGAAGTGGTCACAGCAACATCCTGTGTTCTTCCTGATCTTAAAGAGAAAGCTGTCAGTCTCCCCACTGCATATGATGTTGGCTGTGGGTTTCCATGTGTGGCCTTTGTTACACTAAGCTGGACTTCCATCATGTTTCAGTGTTTTTATCTCAACATCTGTGAAATTTTCTCAAATTTTTGTTGATTCAATCTTATTGGTTATACAGCTATTCGATTTTGTTTCTTTCACATCTCTAAAGAATTCAGGTTTGTAGGAATTTGTCCATTCCATCTAGGCCACTAAACAGTTAGCATATAACTACAGAGTACTCTTGAAATTCTTCATAATCTTGAGAATGGATGGTGAGGTCTCAAATTTTAGTAATATCCATTTTCTTTTTTCAACGTTAATCATGGAACAGGTTGCTAATGTTGTTAATCATTTTTGAACAACCAACTTTTGGTGCATCAGCTTTCTTCACAATTACTCTAGACTCTGTTTTGTTTATCTTCATTCTCATTTTTAGTTTTCTCCTTCTACTAGCTTGAGGGAACATTTTAGGGGACAGGGGTCTCTTTATATAACCCAAACTTGTCTCAAAATCACAATCATCCTGCCTCAGCCTCTGATGCTAGGGTGCTAGGTTATATCACATCCTTCACCTGCCTCATAGTAGTTTTTAAAGACTTAATATAATAATCAAGTAACCTTTTTTGGCAAAATACCACACAATC